AGATGCAGGTGCATCAGTCAAAAAAACCCAACACAAAGCCAAATGATGTGTTACGTAATGAGGACAGCTTTGAAAATCGTGACAACAAATGAAAAAAATCAACCCCTTCAGTGATGTTCAGAATTCAATATGATCATTAGCCAATATCATCGTCACAAGTTGAAATAAACCTACTTAGAGCTGATAAATGCTGGTAATTAAACATTCAAAGTTAAAGGAATAGCCTTTGATCAACATTTTGGGGAATACAGTTTTCTTGCCGAACAAGCCACAAAAGCTTGAATTGTGTGCAAGTGACTTCTTGGAGTCTGGCAACTTCATAGTGATGACAAGTCACTGCTCTCGGCCAAGAAATAGTCTTGCTCATAACAACTTAGTACTCTCACATCAAATATCGATGTCCTCAGGCTGCTCTACCTCAACCTCTTGGTGATTTGTGGAGTTTCCTGATGGACAGATAGCTTGGTGCTTCCCAACCGCATTCAAAATGGTTCGGGTTACACCCCTACAAAAAGCCCTCCCTCAACCCTACTCAAGCTGAGAACTATCAGCCAGTTTCACTTGTACCAGTTCTATCCAAAACCATCAAAAGGGCAGTCTTCAAACAGGCCTCACAGCTCCTCTCACGGAATGACCTTCTTGATCCATTTCAGCTGGGTTTAAAGAGCAGCCCCTCCACTGAAATGGCTCAGTTGTTTAAGACAGAAGCACTAAGATCAGCTAAAGTTGCAGCCTAGTCCTTAGTTCTCATTCTGCTAGATCTATCAACTGCTGTTGACACAGTCAACCACAACATCCTGCTATCGGCACTGTTGGCAGTGGGCATCTCGAGCAATGCACTCCTGTGGTTAGAATCCTACCTCTCTGGGTGTTCCTACAATGTGTCATGGCAAGGACAATTGTCCTTCTCTCACTCCCTCTCCACGGGGGTGCCCCCATAGACTGTATATAAGAAATGGCCGTAGTCATCGTGATGTCACCCGTTGGTTTGTGGACTGCCATTTTGAAGCCTCGAGTTTGGCCGATAGATCGCCGCCATGTCGAGTTTTTGCAACCAGAAAGTGCCCGGAAGTGACGATACAGCGGAGCTAACGGCCGTGTGTGGAGCTAGCTTGCCTAGCTAGGTGCAACTGTAACTCACGTTAACTGTCATTTTAACAGGGCTGATAACTTTGTCTAGCGAACAGTCTTAAAACAAAATGTACTCACCAGAGAAAGTGAACAGCCGACTCCTAATAAGCTTTTTAAACGGGGCTGGTTAAATTTACACAGTACCGAGGGTACGAGTCGGCTCTAGCCTGATTGACAGGTCGCCATGGTAACGACTTGTCAATCATAGATAACCCTGAAACGTACTCTGTTTTTTGGTCTATTTTAAAATAAATGGGACCATAATTTACTAAATGAACATCATTTTGTATTGAGGAAGACTTGAAACTAGCGACTGAGACCATAAACTCATCAGGAAAGTGTTTACTGGGGTAATTATTCAGCTGAGAAGTCAGGTCATTTTCCCATTATTTCTAATGGAGCCGGACTTCTTTTTGCAACCAGAGGAGTCGCCCCCTGCTGGATTTTCAACAGAATGCAGGTTTCAGGGACTTCCGCATTTGCTTCATATTGTAGACCGGAAGCTTCCCGCTTGGGTGCCCCAAGGCTCAGTGCTAGGGCCCCTACTTTTCTCAATTTACACAAACTCACGGATCATTCACTTGCACGATTTCTTTTACCCCTGTTCCGCAGACAATACGCAACTCTACCTGTCCTTCCCGCCAGATGACCCCACCGTCTCGGCACAGATCACGCACGATCTCTCAGACATACTGCATGGATGAATGCTTGCCATCTTAAACAAAACCTCTTGCCAAACTCTTGCCAAACTCTTGGTTATCAGCTAAGTAAACTATCCATCATAACATCAAATTAAAAATTTGCTTCTCAACCATCACTCCAACCAGGGTGGTGAGAAACTTGGGTGTCATGATTGACGACAATCTGTACTTCTTGGACCATCTTGCTACCGTCTCCCAATCTTTCCACTTTTCTCTATACAAAATAAGATAAATCAGGCCCTAACTATCTCAATACACCACCCAACTTCTGGTACAAGCCATGGTTACCTCTCACCTCGACTACTGCAATGCCCTCCTAGCTGGTCTTCCAGGTTGTGCAGTGAAACCTCTGCAAATGGTCCTGAACGTGGCAGCACATCTGGTTTTCAATCAATCACCCTACTACTCAGGGACCTCCACTGGCTACCCATGGTCTCCTGAATCATAGTCGAATCACTAATGCTTGCACACAGAGTGACTACTGGGTCTGCACCATCTGCTCTAACTGTAGCTGCTGTTCAGCTCAGTTAACCAGTCATTTAGCTAGTGATCCTATTAGCTGACTATGCCTGGACTGGGAACTCGGAACACCCGGGGAGTGTTGGTGCACAGGGGCTTTGGGCTGCCAGGAGGATGAGGTTTTGATGCCTGGGGAGGGGGCTCGAAAGCTCCTATGCTAGCGGTGTAAAGAACCAACACTCCCACGGTTGCTCCGAGCAGGATCATCCCTACGTTCTCAGAGTCCTATGAGCATGTGTGTCTTGATGTAAACTAACATTGTAAGAGATGGGAATGGGCTAACTTTGCAGTTCAAATTGCAAAAGAACTTGTTGAGGATAATGTTGTTGCTGAAAGGATTTCTGGTAGAAATCCTTTCAGCCACTGATTTGAGGTATCAGTATTTAAAGTCAAGAAAACTTCTTGCCCACAAATTTATATAAAATCACAAAGCTGTATAAGCTGTAGGTGATTTCAACGTATTGACCCAGGGATACACTGAACAATTGACTTAGGGAAAAAACATTGCTGAAAACATTTAACAATTATTTGAAAGGTCGTGTCATCATGAGGATATTGAGCTTGGGAACATAGGACCCTGGTTGCATAGAACCCTGGGAACATAGATATTCTCCCCTCCAAGCACCCACTAGCTAATGGCAGCTACAATTAGCGGTTACTTTACCAACATGTAATGCTATATGTCCATCAGGAAACTCACCAAACACTCCAGCATGTCTCATTTTTACAACCTAATTCTTGTCTAATCTGCAGGCTGATAAGCAGTAATTTCATCAAATTCAGTGGCCCATATCATTATTTCCAAACTACTGTAGCTGCCATATATCACAGGACTGCAGAGTAGATTAAAGACCAGGGCAACATTCAGCCCCGTCAAAATGTTTATTTAAATGGAGAAGATGGTATTGAACATGCTATTGTGTTACGCAAGTGCACTGCATTGCCTTTTTAATACGATGGGGTTTATATATGTTGCTGCTGACCCACCAAACGAGAGAAAACATATCTCAAAGCCTGTTGCACACAGTTTCACATATCATTCAACCCAGAAACTGTAGTAAAACGGTGTATTTTTTCAGACTGAATATGAAGACCCATAGTTGGTGTGTGACGTAGCGTTATGCACTTCTTGAAGGAGATTGTAACCTCTCAACTGACTGTGGCTTCATATTTAGTGTACAGATATGAGCGTGGTATTGATCTTCTTATCTAACTCTCTGCAAGGAAAGTGGATAAGCGTATTTCCCAAAATGTCAAACTACTCCTTTAAGATCTTCCGTGATGAAATGATTACACTGTTATGTCTAACCTCTTTATATCTCAAAAGTGCTGCTATATAGTTTGTGCATTACAGCAGTTAGAACTGAAATACTCATACATTATTATTTATCGTACAAAGTGTAATATCCACTGTTTGCCTGCTAAATTGAATTGAATTGAATTGAACTGCACATAGTTTCTGACAGTCTCCAGACCCTTCATTAGCAGTGTCCATGCACCCAAGAGGTTATGTTGACACCTTGTCTGCTCATCCCTTGATCCACTGCTGCTTTTTTCATTTTTGACATTCTTCCAGGGCTGTGTTTGTTTTCTCATTTCCCTCCTTTAGCAGATGTTTTCTTCCCACCCACTGAAGTTCCTCTATTTTCCTCTCCCACTTTTATCAGATCAAATGCTTATAAATTCATTGCATGCTGTTAGAGGCGGTGATGGAGGTGGTGGTGGGTTGGTGAGAGCTCTGGGAAAAACAGCATGAACAGAAGAATGGGTCACTGTGTTTCTCTTGAAGCAACTGTCCCCCAGTAAGGTGCAAATGTACCAATTTGTGCAATGTGTTTTAACTACAGTTTGAAACTCATTACCATCAAATAAATTTCACTGTTTGACCCACTGCATGCGCACTGCATCACAAAGCTTAGCCAAGCAGCAAGCATGGTTAAACAGTAGTATGTGTTCCTTTTTCTTCTTCTGACAGAAGGCTCCATATTTGCTTATCCCTTAAAAGCTGTAACCCCTGTCATTGCCCCTGAACATGTGTAGCTAGGATGCTGTGCAGTGCTTACTGCCTAGCAGTCACCATGTTTTATGACTTTGTTCTAGGCTGTGAGACTCATAGAGGCATGTTTAGCTCTAAGACTTAATTGTCTGCACTTTTTCACAGAGGCTAAGCAGCAGAGGTAGGTGAACTATGACTCTGAGTAGAATAATTACAGAAACACAGGCCACATACTGTTCAGCTAACGGCTGTCTAGTGTTTTTGTATTCTACAGGTAGGTGCATTATATTCTGCACACATTGTCTCTCTCATTGTGTCAAATAAACTAAACTAAATCTGTCCAATAGATGACATTTCACTTAAAACAACAAATTTCAAACTCATGGTTGCGCTAGAGGAAAAGACTGGGGATCACCAAAGTCTATAGGATTCTCCTCTGGGTGCCAAGTAAACCTGTACCAAATTTCATAGCAATCAATCCAATACTGTAGTTGTTGAGATATTTCAGTCTGGAGTTGTGAATCGACTAACTAACTGACAGGCCTTGCCATCCCTACAGCCATGTCGCTAGCATGGCAAAACATTCTGTAGGGCCTACAATTTGTGTTTGTGTATTCACAGTCTGTGTTTCTCTCTGTGTGTCTTTACATTAGGAGTGGCTGGATTTGCGCTGCAGAGGCGTTCGCAATGCCAACGCCTACATCCTGGTGTACGACATCTGCTGTGTCGAGAGCTTTGAATACGTCAAGATGATCAGACAACAGATAGTGGAGCACAGGTACAGTATGGTCAACCGCATGCTCTCAGCTGGCCAGATAGTAACTGAACATACAACCACTGACATTCAGCTTTTTAACCCTCATTGATGACTTCTAATGACACCAATGTGTCACCCGTCTGGAGACACCATGCAATTTCACAGCCCTGCCATAATGCTGTACAATTATACGTTTGTGACAGTGATAGATAGCTAGAGAGAGATAGCTTGTGGTGAGATATTTTAATTCAGAACACTCAGGCCTGCAGCCTGACAGTTTAGGAATGACATTTGATTCTGGCATTGCTGTATGAGTGCTGCCTGAGACGTCACTAGCGATTAAAAGATTATTTTTAGGATACTTCTGCTTTTATTGAACAGAGTACAGCAGCAACATAGAGTCGGCTTGAGAACCAGAGGGAAATATAATAAAAGTCTCCTGGCTGGGTTTGAACCAATACAAGAGCCATAAGGACGCAACAATAGTGGGAAACTAGAGACCATCTTACAATAGGATCACACCAGCAGCTCCGCCAAATCAGTGTGGATGTAGCAATGGAACACAATGACATGAGAGAAGTGAGTCTGGCAAAACAGGTGATCTGTGTCGGGTTTATTCATTTTGCCTAAATGTTCTCGTTGGGTCAACTTTTAATGTATGTGTGTTTTGACATAATTTTCAATTAAATTCACTCAAATTCAATGGGGCTTTATTGGCATGGGAACAGACGTTTACACTGCCAAAGCAAATCTGTCTTGCTGAAATAAAAGTAAACATTACATACATTAATCATGGTCATGAATGTATAATGTGTCTTTATTGGCAGGAGATAAATGATCAGTTACAGTATTTGGCAAGAACAAGAATACTGACTGTCCAACAACAATTGTTTTTTTTTGTTTTTATTGTCTGCCTGGATCTTGCCATCTTGGCAAAGCTAATTCCATGACTTAAAAGCAATGTGGGTCAGTGCATAAAGTGGGGGGCCAGCGTGCCCTTCTTTACTTCCTACCCCCCGTACGTCTGGCGTACTTGCTCAGATCACACCCATCTTCAAACTCTGCCTTCATTTTGATCTCAACTACACACCTGTAAAGGTTCGTGACTGCATTTTGCAGACAGCCAGGAATTTAAACACCTGGCAAAGTACTCAAACCGCTTCTGTGGTAGTTCCAGCTAGAGTAGGCATCTCCAGGACCACATTTTGCCATGATGACACACACACACACACACACACACACACACAAACACAGACTCACAACGTGAAAACAATAACCGCGACAGCGTGGCTGGTAAAAAGACCAATGTAAAGGCATCACCTGCTCTATCATCCTCACTGTTGGCATCCTGCATATATTTACATATTGGAAGGTGCAATGAGTGGCCTCATTTGTTCTGCTATGTTGTTCATGTCCAAACTGCCACTGCACAGATCATCCTCACTTTCCTGCGGTTCCAAATGCGTTACCATGAATGTTTATGGCCCATGACAGAAAACCATTACCACCAGCAGCTGGGGAAGGAAGGTGGAATGCAAGGGAAATGGAAAACAGGAGAAATGTGTAATCATACAATAGGACAAAGATCTAAGGTCAGAGTGGAGGAGGGAAGGAAAGAGCAGACAAGGGACAGATCCTGCATATTCATTTAAATCATGAATAATGGAGGCTGTTACAGCACAGGGTAGCTGCACTGTAGATGTCAAGTATAAAGATTTAATCTGTTTGCTTTACTATAAGATATATGCTTAAAATACTCTGGAAAGTTCTGCTGACAAAACCAGAATAACCTTGTTTTTTCAACTCTATTTTTCTATATCCTGTAGCCTCTCTTCCATTCTGTGAAGACTGTGACAATGTTGGGTCTATCACTCCTGTATAGTTTCCCCCAATTTTCACACACAGATGGATGCACACACAACCTCACACACAATACAGTACATCTCGTTCTGCTAAAATACTCAAGCTCGAGCGGATATGCGAGGAGATATTTTTAAGTCTATTATGCGAGCACAACCTGTGAAAAGAAGATAAGTGAGATGAATACTGCAACATGTTTTTCAACCCTACATCTTGAAGAACTTCACCTCAGGCCTTGAAAATTGTACTGTATATTTCTCTCTCGATGTGTGTCTTTCTCTTTGTCAAGCTATCTGTCCATCTGTCAAGGCACACGCGCAATTATGCATACGTATGCAAGCCTTTGTCAGAAGATGAGGCACGATTTAACAAAAAGAAACCTTCATTCAAGAGATCAATTGTTAACACAGCAGCATTGACAATTATTTATACCTCAGCTGACACTGAGCTCAGGAAATAAGCAGGTGTCTTGTGCTTACACACATCACTTGTTCTCTCCTTCAAGTAGAGCGCCAGATTACATTTCTATCCCACCACCAATCAGGTGTCACTGGAAATAGTAACTTAGTGATGTCTTCCTGAATGTTGATGTTTTTCATTAACACTGTAGGATAAAGCATTACAAACACAAGTCTTAAATCACTCATTTATGCCTATATCTGGTCTCTGGCTTGCCATACATTTTAAGACTTCATAATGCTGTAAACCAGTCGCTGCAGAGTGTAGTGGGAGGCCCCTTGAGCCTATGAGCTGTAATCCTCCAGTCCACCCCCACACACCTCGAAAGGAAGGAAAAACTGCACACATACATCTTGCACACGCCCAGCCAACCACTGTGACAAACACCAAGATGATAGCTGTGCTTTTAGAAATGAACCTGTTTTTTTTTTTTTAACCTCTCACGTGCTCCTGCAGGGAAGGCAGCAGCAGCGAGGTGCCAATCCTGGTGGTGGGCAACAAGAGAGATCTGCAGCGGCAGCGCTTTATGCCTCGCAGAGCAGTGTCAGTCCTGGTGAAGAAGACCTGGAAGTGTGGCTATGTGGAGTGCTCTGCCAAGTTTAACTGGCACGTAGTCTTGCTTTTCAAAGAGCTGCTGGGCATCGCTGTGGCACGGGGCATGCGCCAGAACCACACCTCTATCCGTCTGCAGGGGGCGCTACAGAGGAATCGCTGCACCATCATGTGACCCTGAGAGCTCCCTCCACCCCTAAGGAGTGGAGTGGCAGAGGAGAAATTGACTTTTTATCTAAATAGCTGGAAAAATACCCTGTGGCCTCCTGCTTTACTGAGCTGATTTTTCATAATGAGGTTTATTAGACTTTTGCGCTGTAAAAGACACTAAAATTTCACACATGGTCATCCAACCACTTCCTAGTCAAATTCTGCCAAATGTGTAGTTGCAGGGAAGGAGGTAGAAGAGGAGGAAGCAGGTGGAAACCAATGTGACTAACATAGCACAGTTCTTTTTCCTCATATCAGCGAGACAGTTATGCATTTGAGGCTGTGCTTCCCAAATGACACAGCAGCAGGTGTTATTGAGGGTTGTCTTGTGGCTGTAGCTGGGCCTGACAGGATGGAAACTGTGTTTGTGAGACTCAAAACGGAGAGGCAGCAATATCATCGAGTCTTCCTTTTGAATTTGTCATACAGTGCCTTGCGAAAGTATTCGGCCCCCTTTTCGACCTTTTGCCACATTTCAGGCTTCAAACATAAAGATATAAAACTGTAATTTTTTGTGAAGAATCAACAACAAGTGGGACACAATTATGAAGTGGAACGAAATTTATTGGAAATTTCAAACCTTTTTAACAAATAAAAACTGAAAAATTGGGCGTGCAAAATTATTCAGCCCCTTTACTTTCAGTGCAGCAAACTCTCTCCAGAAGTTCAGTGAGGATCTCTGAATGATCCAATGTTGACCTAAATGACTAATGATGATAAATAGAATCCACCTGTGTGAAATCAAGTCTCCGTATAAATGCACCTGCTCTGTGATAGTCTCAGAGGTCCGTTTAAAGTGCAGAGAGCATCATGAAGAACAAGGAACACACCAGGCAGGTCCGAGATACTGTTGTGGAGAAGTTTAAAGCCGGATTTGGATACAAAAAGATTTCCCAAGCTTTAAACATCCCTAGGAGCACTGTGCAAGCGATAATATTGAAATGGAAGGAGTATCAGACCACTGCAAATCTACGAAGACCCGGCCGTCCCTCTAAACTTTCAGCTCATACAAGGAGAAGACTGATCAGAGATGCAGCCAAGAGGCCCATGATCACTCTGGATGAACTGCAGAGATCTACAGCTGAGGTGGGAGACTCTGTCCATAGGACAACAATCAGTCGTATACTGCACAAATCTGGCCTTTATGGAAGAGTGGCAAGAAGAAAGCCATTTCTTAAAGATATCCATAAAAAGTCTCGTTTAAAGTTTGCCACAAGCCACCTGGGAGACACACCAAACATGTGGAAGAAGGTGCTCTGGTCAGATGAAACCAAAATCGAACTTTTTGGCAACAATGCAAAACGTTATGTTTCGCGTAAAAGCAACACAGCTCATCACCCTGAACACACCATCCCCACTGTCAAACATGGTGGTGGCAGCATCATGGTTTGGGCCTGCTTTTCTTCAGCAGGGACAGGGAAGATGGTTAAAATTGATGGGAAGATGGATGGAGCCAAATACAGGACCATTCTGGAAGAAAACCTGATGGAGTCTGCAAAAGACCTGAGACTGGGACGGAGATTTGTCTTCCAACAAGACAATGATCCAAAACATAAAGCAAAATCTACACTGGAATGGTTCACAAATAAACACATCCAGGTGTTAGAATGGCCAAGTCAAAGTCCAGACCTGAATCCAATCGAGAATCTGTGGAAAGAACTGAAAACTGCTGCTCACAAACGCTCTCCATCCAACCTCACTGAGCTCGAGCTGTTTTACAAGGAGGAATGGGCAAAAGTTTCAGTCTCTCGATGTGCAAAACTGATAGAGACGTACCCCAAGCGACTTACAGCTGTAATCGCAGCAAAAGGTGGCGCTACAAAGTATTAACTTAAGGGGGCTGAATAATTTTGCACGCCCAATTTTTCAGTTTTTATTTGTTAAAAAGGTTTGAAATATCCAATAAATTTCGTTCCACTTCATGATTGTGTCCCACTTGTTGTTGGTTCTTCACAAAAAATTACAGTTTTATATCTTTATGTTTGAAGCCTGAAATGTGGCAAAAGGTTGAAAAGTTCAAGGGGGCCGAATACTTTCGCAAGGCACTGTATTCAGTAAGGTCAACAGCAAACGCTCATACCAGACATATTTGGATTACTTTGAGGATGTGCGGTTAATGGTCTACCAGAATAATAAAGAGCAAAAAATAGCACTTTTCTGGGGAGGTTATCAATTTTAGAATCTGAGAAGTAGCCAGCATTTTTTTTCTTTCCCTGTTTCAAACTTGGCCTATACAGTAAAAGCTGTTTGTTCAGATGAAGGGTGTTTTAAGGTTGTCTTGCAGCAGAAAATACTGCAGTCCATATCATGATGTTCTGTAGGGCTTTAATTTGCTCCCTCCCTTCACTCAGTGTCTGTTTCTGATGAATACATTAAATCCAATGAACTGGGGACATACAGGAGGTGTGTGTGTGTGTGTGTGTGTGTGGGAGAGAGAGAGGGAGGGAGACAGAGAGAGGCAGGTTTGATAGCTGACATTCAGGCAAGCAAAGGACAGACAGCAAGATAAGAGACAGATGAGATGTTGGAATTTTGAATTGGGAAGGCGCAATAAAAACCCACAAGGATGTCCTGACTGACTATATATGTACCATCGTATTATATTAAAAATGCCTCACACACAATAGATGTAATTCACTTGCAGAATCCTGCAGAAAAAAAGAGCTCAATGACTTCCACAAAACATCCCATGAGTGCATCACAGACACACAGGGAACCTTAATAAAGCATTCATATCCGTATCTGAATAATATCTAATTGGTAATGTTGTGAGATTAACAGTTGCTTTTTCATTTGATTAGACCTAGCTAGGTAGTTTGTGAATATGGCTGCAGTGAAAGTAAGCAGACCTATTGTATATAAGAGTGATGATCCATAGAGTAATTGACTTGCATGCTTTTGTTGGTAGAGCCAACGGGTCAGGGGTTTAATTGCACTGATGTGAAAATTTGATATTGTGTTTCATTTTTGTAATACATGGTTTTCTGACACTGTAATGAGCAGCTGAGTGGAGTGAATGTAGTTGTTTTTCACTGGCATGTGAGAGCACAAGCTCATGATTCTCTCCCAAGCTGTTGTGTTGAACCCTTCAATCAGGGCACATGGCTGTGTATAGTTTTGTTGTTTGTTTTTCTAGTTAAAAAAAAAAGAAATATGTAGCAGAGATACACTAGAAAGCAACTGTGTGTAGCATGAGTTCTCATCGGTTTGTCTGCTGTGTGTTTCCAAATAAAAAGGGCTACCGTTTTTTTATGAGAAACGTTACTTGTATTTATTTTTACTGTGTTAGTACTGTGGGTAATTTTGTTTGGTTTTTTGACACATGATCAATCATTAAATGCATTTGAGAACAGCACCTTTACTCTGGTCACTTTTCAATGCTGTGCAACAATTACACCACACTAAGATCATTTTGACAACATTGCCACCTTGTGGTAAAGCCACGTTATCAGGAGCAAAATCAGAGACAGGCAACAGATAAGGCATCACATGCTGAACCCCCTTCCAGTACTTAATTGTATTCAACAAACTAGATCATCATCTGGTGATTTCCCCAATGTAAGAACTGACATACTTTCATTTAAGGTGGCAGTGTGATAATAGTCACTGTATACACAAATTAGTAAATGAGTAATTATCTCATCAACGGCCAATGGTACTAAACAACATGATGTTTCTTTGGATCATCACCCCTCACTTTCTCTGTGGGTAACATTAACCTGTGATGGGGGCAAGTATTGTTTTTTTTGGGCTATTACAATTAAAGACCTGTGCATTGTGCATGTATCCTGTCACCACCAAAATCCAGATTAAGTACTAGTTTGTGGTCATTTAGATAAAGCACTTCACACTTGTCTACTTTATTGGGTTAAATGCACCATGGGAGCACAATATAAACTCAAATAAATGACGTTTTTCCAAATGTTGACCTAAGCAAACTACCAAAAACCAGTCAACAGGTAGAGAGAGGCCTGTTACTGTGCAGTGTTATCAATTTGTGTATTTATTATGTATTTTTAGCCTATGTTTGTTGTTGCATACTCTCCTACACTTGTCTGCTCTCCTGACAAGCATCAGGTCTGAAATCAGCCACCAAACCGCATGTCAAATGTTTAGATAACAACGTCACGTGGTGCAGGTCTGAATCATAGACTTGAATTGATAGAGCGGCGTTTCCATTCACATTCACGCTCAGCGAGTGTCCAGGTCAGCAGCCGCTCCCTCCCTCCCAGAATTACTGTCATTATCGGTCGTCATGGAAATCGCTGTTGATTTGGTGACAGCCTTATCAGTAGTAGATATGGAGGTCATGTAAGAAATGTCCTTTCTATTCGATCCAGCTCTGTGCTCTGAATCCTCTGCAGTCTGCATCAGCAAAGTGTCTTGGCATCACTTCTCGTCCTGCGTTGTCCATTCCGGCGTCATGTGAAAGGGGCTCACGGTCGGTGGTCTCTCTCGCCTTAGACCCGGACCCTCCTTCCGGTCGAGCTCGTTCGTCAGCGCCGAGGTCCTCGCTCAGGTAGACACGGTGGGGTAGTGTCCCCGTCCCCGCTGTCCCCGGTTTATCCTGCACCCTTCGGCGTGCGGCGGAGCGGAGGATGAGCGAGCAAGGGAAGGGCTCGGCATCTGCCTCTGCCGCGGCCCCGGCACCAGGATCGGATACTTACAAAGGCTGGCTTTTTAAATGGACCAACTATTTGAAAGGGTACCAGCGGCGGTGGTTTGTCCTCAGCAATGGCCTGCTTTCATACTACAGGTAAATGGTGCAGACGCGGCGTGTAAGATTTCTGAATATAAACAGCGACTCTTTATGTTTCTGTAAGCGCATCAGATCATTACAGCTGGCTGCCTCAGCTGGCTAGCAGCAGGCTAAAGTTAGCTGTCAAATGGACAGTTGTTGGTTTACTTTAAGCTGACAACTGTGACAGCGTCGGCGTTTTACTATGACTGACTGTATGTTGCGGAGAGACACCAAACACAGACAGACATACACACAGCAACGATAACAGCAAGGTTTCTAACTCAATAAAGTGTCAGAAATGTAGCTACAGTAAGTACAGACGTTAGCTAGCAAACTAAGCTAGCTCGCGAGCCTTCGCTCATGATCCAGCTCTCCGCTCCTCACTGACAACCGGTCTTTAACGTGTTGTTACTAAAGTCGAGGTTATTATTTATTTTAATTTTAATGTCACTGTCTTAATGTTTTATTCCTTATGAACGTCATATCATTTTGCGCAATTGAATTCACTAATTTCATGAGCCTTACGTTACCGATTCCTGCTAACGTTACTCAGTGTGATCACTGCAAGGAGATGCGTTGCAAGAGGTGGTCGCTATCATTATCATTATGTCCTCACTCTCATCACGCAGGTTGCTAGTTCTGAGCTAACGTTATCTATACAGTAGTCTAACACCTGTGGCTCAGGTGCCTCACGCAAGGAGTCATGTTTCAACCGGTTTCAACAGGTGTGTGTCTGTGTCTGTGTGTGAGGCACAACAGGGAAACAATGAATTACTCATAAAGCAGTCAAATGTTTAGTCCCCAAAACCAACTTGCTTCAACACAGAAAAGTCATATATATGAAGGTTTGATTAAACTGGACTAGGTCAGGTCAAGTGCAACTTTAATAACTTGACGTCAACATAAAGCAGAGTATTCAAACAAGTCCAAACTCAATTTTCTCAAACAACAACAACGTCTTCATTGTTAGTCAAATGTTAATACAACCCCACAGCAGGTAAATTTAACTGTCACATGGTGAAACTGTGTGCATGTGTGACAAAATAGTCTCAACTTTTAAGTCCACCTTCTAGCATTTTCAGAGCTTCATTCTCTGATGAAGATAGTGAGATGCGGTTGAAAGCTCTGAAGAAAGCTATAAGTCAGTGGACCTCTGAGATGAGATTATTTTGTCCCTGGATTCTCAACGGGGGGCGTTCCGAGGACGATTGGGGGGCGTTTGTTGGTTGGCCGAGTTTCCACTTAAGATTCACAACAATACGAGTTTAAACTTTAAACTACTTGCAAAAAACTGTGGTCTGCAACATTAAAACCTGCCAGTTTAGTCCACTGCGACTGGACAAAGCTGTGTATTTTTTCTCTGTCAGCTACTTGTGGTGCAGCTTCGTGCTGCCTTCACGGGAACGGGAAGTCAGAGTCTTATCTCTAAAATTTTACCCACATGGCGTTCTCTGGAACTGAAAACTCTGGAAAATCGACCTTCTCTTTCTAGGTGGAAAAGTGTTTATTTCTCTGAGGAATACACGTTGAACGTCTTGTTATCTCAGTGGTTACACATTTACAAGAGGGATATTCTGCTGTCGGACATCCTGAAAGCAACTTCGCTGCGACACCAGCGAGTGACATGGACCCACCTTACGCTGTGAGTCGCAGACAGTTTGTGCCAAAGTGGACATACACTGTAGTTTCAGTAGGCTATAAAAATGTAACGTTAAAAACTGAAGACTTGTCTTGCTCTGTTGGAGATTGTAAGCGGCACTTTATCAGAGGTGCTGAAGTTAACGTGTGTGGAATTATTCGTGAGCTTTCTGTCTGATCACAGGTGTTGTTGGTTAGTTTCGTTTCCCCCCGGCATGAGCACCTCCTCGTCTCATTCAGTTTTGTCTGTTAGACGGCGAGGGGATACTTCCAGCAAATCAGTAACATAATGCAGTATCGAGTATGTAGTAAAATATTATGAATTCTCCTTTAAATAGGCTAATGACGTTAGTCTTTATTTCAGAGAACTCAGATATGTGGGAGAGATTCTGAATGTGCAGAAAGTTTTGAACATGAGCAGATAAGTTACAGTGTTTCCCATACGTTCATTTATTTGTGGCGGCCTGCCACAATATCAAGGCTTACCGGCACATATTGAATTTAGGTTTTTTTTACTAGGCCTATTTAAAACCGTATTCGCTCGTCTCTCTCATCCGTCTCTCGATCTCTTGCTCTCGCTCCCTCATTAACACAGCTGCACAAATCTGTCCAACACAAGCTGACAATGTCGGAGACCCAGCTATTAAAAGTTATTAGCAAGCATGTAAGGAGCCTAGCTAATAAGGAGCGCTAAGTTAATGTTAGAATACAGATGGGTTTTTGAGGCTAGCATGCTGTACAGCTACGCCACAGTTACACTGTCATTCTGTGGGAAACCCTGAGTTATGATAAGTTATTAACAGATGAGCGAATAAAGTCCAGTCAATAAATGAATAAAAATGGATTAATTTATTACTGAGATGAAAAGGGGCCACAAACACATTTATAGGTTACTTCCCCACAAAAAGAGGTGGTAAGACTTAATCATGTGTGTTGAGCAGGGATGATATTAAATAAGTTGATCTACAGGAGAAAAATATTTAAAAGCAATAAGAATGCCTGAGAGCCTCAGTAGATTATATTCTATAATAATTATATATTTTGAATTGTCACCTGCCACCTGAATTTTTAGACATTGCCACCATAAATTGGTGCAGAAAAGGCAGAAATTGGAGCATTCACTTATTAGTTAAATATAATTACTTTTCACATGGCTTTTTTGTTACCGTTTCCATGTTTTTAATAACAATAGTAACAATAAAAAAATCAACAATATTCAGGGCAAATAGCAAACATCTTGTTTGATGGGGGGCGGTAAGGGACCTGGATAATGGATAGAGGTGCGCTGGCCCAAAAAAGGTTGAGAACCACTGCCCTAGGTGCACTGATAAGGTTTTACCAATTTCAAACTTAATATTGATTGCAAAATTCATGAATAGACCCAGCATTTGGATCTTTTGCACTATGGAGTGAGTATGGAGCAAATTAATGATGCCATACCGGGAAGCCCTGAACCACCTATGTGCATGATCCTCATCAAAGGAGAGATAGAGTAATTGTTGCAACGGTTGTTCCCCCTATCTGATCCACTTTTACTAAATAAATGGATCATAGCAGAATGAATGTGCACCCACTGGAGTTAACTGTCCTCTGATAACAGAAATATTAGTCGCTATTAGTCAAAGCTGTAACTGTGGAGTTTAAATGCCTTTACAAATCAGATAGCCTATGATTAAAACAACTTCTAGCTTATGTACAAACTGATAATAAAAACAATGTGACACAAAGCTGATCCCTATAGGATAGTATTATTTTCAAATAGAGTGCAAAATTGGCTATGAAGGAGGAGGGCATTCACTGCTTTGTTTAAAGGCTCTTCTGCAGAGTGAATTCTGGTCCGTATGGGGGTTTGCATCTGGGTCCTCTGACTGCAAGCCAAAGTTTTGACTAACGATGCTTCCCTGCAGCTCCAGCAGTCATAAATGCAATCTTCAGAAATATAAATCTTCATCAGATTGGATAGAGAACATTCTCAAGTGGTTGTGCTCGCAGAAAAATCTAATCTAAACCAAATGTGGAGCCCATTTCATCTCATGCTACAGCCTAGTGCCACACTTTCTCAAGCAGCCTGATTGTCTTTTGTTGTCAGCACTGTTATTTGACACAGAGGTAGGATAGCCAAAGCCCCACTCCTGCCTGCTCTTGTGGTGAAAGAAAAGACGCCTGTTGCCTCTACCCTTTATTAATAGTCCATTATGTTGTAAGGTGACTGCTGTCCCTGAAACAAAGGTAGCCTGTCAACATCTGAGCACAGAGGCAGTGAAGCACACAAGTTGTCCCCTACACTGATGTCTTCCTGGCAGGCCACACTGTATGTCTGAATTCAGGCTTTGTGTGCCTGAAGGCCACTGTCTGTGCCTTCTCTGGCCGACTGTCTGCACTTCTATTGTGAGTGAAGCTAAAGGGAAACAGTCAGACAAATGTGACAACATGTTAATTAAAGTGTCTTCACTGTGTGTCAAGTGATAATGGCGTTGCGTTTCAGATGTACACTTTGTGCTAAACATTTTTGTCCTTGTCCTACAATTACGAGACAAATACACAGAGAAGTATGGCAGTTGGAAATAACTTTATACCATTTCCTCTCACTATTTTAAGTTTACAGTTTCTGCTCTTACATGTCAAATAAGTAACCACAATTGTTTTGTCTTTGAGGATGGAGCGCTGTAATAAACATGAACCCAATTTTTAAGGATTTAATGATGTCACTTTGGAGAAGTATATGATATAATTTGATGGATAGACATTTCATAATGGATTAAACTGTCATTAAGAGGATGCCCTTTAAAGCCCAAGAGACTCACGTCCCATCAGATGTAGCTCAACATGCTTTGACCAGTGTTCAATATTTGTTTGCCCTTTTGAAAAAGCCAGTTAATGTTTAAATCAATAGTGACTGACTGCCAATTAGAGGTCTAGCCAATAACCGGAGGCATCGCTTTCATTCCCAAGACCTGCTGATGTCAAAGCGAAGGCTTAGTTCTCTGACTTGTAGCGGTGTGCTCTGACTTCCACACTCAGCACTTGCGCCTGTTAAAACACTAACGGATTTTTATAGAGATTCAACATTACACTTGTTATTGATTATGTTTGGCTCTGACGCTGCAAAGCTTGCAGTCTTTTATTCCACATCAGCCTTGTCTGTTTTAGTTTAAATCACAGAAAGAGCCTCATTGTGCTACTCTCACCAGGACTTGTAGCAAGATCTTTGTCCTCCCTCTCTCACTGAATTTTCATTTTTAATTTCCTAATTGACTTTTGCTCCCAGTTTTAATACTCTCAGCACTACTTACTCACTTCTTAAAGTAAATCTGGCTTGGTGCTTTAGGAAAGATTACAGGGCATTAAAGCTTTGAGTGCTATTGGAGCTGCCGTATCAGTGAATCCAGCCTTGTCTTTCCTAGTAGAGCAGGCCTGCCACATTTCCTTCTCAGCTGCAGGAGAGTAACTAGATAGTAAAGCAATTTAAATGCTTAGTGGGGGTTTGGCACCACTGGCATCCCTTTGGAGTGTCAGGTTATGGTGTTACTGCTCACACACTCAGCTCCTGGGTGCAGGAAGAGACAGTAGTGAGCTAGCGAACCTTGGGCCCAGCCGGAGGATAGAGCCTTGTCTGAACTCTGTTTATTAGCCTGGCACATCAGCAGGGTGACTGGAGCAAAAAATGTGGATGCTGTGATCTAATCTTGTTAATGGGCTCCTCGTTGTTCTTAGCATTACGTGTGTGTGTGTGTGTGTGTGTGTGTGTGTGTGTGTGTGTGTGTGTGTGTGAGAGAGAGAGAGAGAAAGCGTCCCTGTGTCTGGGCCTGCCCGGGCGGTCTTCATGTTTTTATGTGAAGGTGAGAGCAGCAGAGTGACTTTAAAACGAGCAGGGAGTCTGGCCACATTCTCACTACTTCATTGTTTCAGCGTTTCAGCAGGTCACGTCGTGCTGTCCGTGTTGCTTTGGTTTTCTTGCCTTATGTTTCCTTTCTGTTATCAGCATTACACATTCCCCAGAGTTTCTCTGGCTCCTTCCCTCCATGTCTTGTGATATCTCAGCCCCCCAGCCACAATAAAAACCTATGTACACATTCTCATGGTCTGGGTACTGTGTCCTATATCCTCTGCCTGTCTGTGTATGTCTCCTCATGCTTATGGCTGTTGTTCTGTGTTGTTCACTGGTTGTTGTTCTGTCATTACATGCTCCAGATCGGTGGATTTGTGTTTTATGAGGATGTGTGCACAGGGGACTGACAGGTAAAGCACTGCTATTCTGTCCTGGCTCGGCGCAACATGCAGGAACCTCTCTCATGCCCTCAGCTGCCCCAACTCACCTTCACCCCCTCCTCCTCTAGTGCCTTAATGCCCCTGTAGTGCTTATCTCTCTTTCCCAGCTTTCGTAGACCCCGTGACTGTATAATTTCATGGCCTTTGCATGGCCTCGCCTCTCCACAGGGCAGAAGCGATCAGTGGGGATCTCATCTTAGTCATCAGCAGCACACTCAGTTTGTTGACCCACTTACAGCCAGGACTTTGCAGCTGAGCACGGCTGGGCTCGGCTAGAAACTGGGCTGCTCAGAAAACCCGCCTGCCCGCCCTCCGCAAGGCTTCACATGGCCCCAGTGCGGTCTCGTCTGCACAACTGATGTGCACCGAGCGCCAGCAGAAGAGCAGTACACTGAAGCGCTTGTTCTGGATTGGCATTATAACAAGACTTGACTTCAGGCTGTAGAAGCAGTGTTAGGGGGATCACTGCCTGGCAGAGCTCATGAAAACACTTCAACCTCTGACTTAATAAGGCTGCAGCCACCTTGTCAGTGTCAACTGAGACTGGAGCTGGTGTCGGGCTTAGTGCTGCTGAGAGGCAGCTGCTCGTGGCAGTGAGGGCTCACCGAGGATGGATGAATGGATGTTGGCACCCACAGACAAATACAGACGCATCCTCGTGATTGCATGGCTGCATGCTTCAAAATGGCTGTTTCCAAGAGTGTGGATGGGCGGTGGTGTGACACTGAGGATTGAGTATATATCTGTTTAAACACAGCATGTGATTTCGCTGATTAGTTGCTGCTCTCTGGTCGAGGGTGTTAATCAGCAAAATCAGCTGTCTGCGGCCGGAGCTCTCTGAGGGACATGAAGGCCCATCCTTGCAGCTTAGCTTGTTTAACCGTGACAGAATCACAGGCAGACAGCTTTCTACCACAGATCTGTAAATGCAATGTTTCTCTTTAATTTTCTTTTTTCCAGTTAACAATATTAGTTGCAGTAACCCTGTTCCAACAGAGACCTTATTATTACTGTGTTATGATGTAGAACAACTGTCTCATAATTATGCTACTGAGCCAATTCTACAGCAGTTTTCATATTTGGATGAGGTGCAGCATTATTAACAATTGCTGTGCAGCCATTGTTTATTTGATTTCTTTGTAAACTTGCAGCCTGTACATTTGGCTTAGACTTTGCATTGTGCAACACTCCCTTGGCTTTGCTCTTTGTTCCAATGTCTTGCTCTGCTGCTTTGGCTCTCTCCCCTGCTATCTCTCTCATTTTTTTTTTTTTTTAACCTCTCTCACACTCTGTTCTCTCTTTGTTCACGCCGTTATTCATTGTTTGGTTTTGTTCACTACAGAGGCTGCAAGCCAGACAATGGCCTTGTTATCTATACTACTGTGGCCCACTGAATGTGCAACAGTTGGTCTTAGTGGAGGCTACACAGAATACCCACAATTCAGCACACTCACAGCAGGGCAGGGAGGTCACGCTGAGTTAATCAGAAATTCAGACTATACCATTTGTTTAACATTAGCGGGTTTAGGTTTCATGAATGTACTATAGAGAAGGTGTGGCTGCTGCTTGGCTTTCAAACACTTATATAATATTCAGCATTTCTCTGTCCCTTCTCGCCTCCCTGCTTGTGCATATGTACTATATGAATGTCAATTGTACTCTCTACATGCATGATGACAGCCCCAGACCAATGTCTTCAGCTCTCTTGTGTCTGCTTGTCTTTCTCTCTCTCTCTCTGTCTTTTTCTGTCTCCTTTTCTGCCTTGTATTTTGTTGCAGGACGCAGGCAGAGATGGCCCACACGTGTCGTGGGACAATCAACTTGGCCACAGCACATATCGACACAGAGGATGCCTGCAATATTGTCCTGAGCAGTGGCGGCCGCACTTACCACCTGAAGGCTAGCACAGAGGTGGAGCGGCAGAGATGGGTCACAGCATTGGAGCTGGCCAAAGCTAAAGCCATCCGCATGATGAACGATCAGTCTGGTAAGGGCAGCTGGAGCCAGCAGCTACTTATATAGAAACTTTAAGCTGCATGGCATGCTGTTTATAGTCTCTCAAGTGCAAACTGTGTAATACACACATGAGGTGCTGGTGCAAGACATTAATGGTCAGACTTTAACCTTGATAAACAAAGGCTGGGCTGATAAAGTCTTGGGCAAACATGCAAATGTGTGTTATGACTTTGTTTGTTCAGTTATTAAGATCCCTGTAAGGTTAAAGGTGTGGTCATCACTAGGTCAGCATGTTCAGCATGGTCCTCAGGCCAGCATAGACATTTGGATATTTGATGTTCCACTGTCCCCTGGAACTTCATATTCTGCACAGCTGGTGTTTCAGCTCACGCCCTCCCTCTTTAATGTAATTCAGATTCCGGTGTGAGCCAGGAGAGGGCAGCGCCGTCTGCTCAGTCGAGTTGGAAAAGAAGTATGGAGAATGCAAATGGTACTGTGAAAACCGGGGCTTCTATTCAGTCTTCTCCTGACAACAGAACAATCTCCTCTGCAAGAGTGACTTGTATGCTTGAATTAGGTGTTGCGGGTCGAAGGCTGTGGGAAAAGCCCAGGAGGACCGTTTTTCTTCATATTTCACCCTGGAATCATCCCAATGCCTCTCTGCCCCAGTCTTTTGCAGACAGGGTCTACAGAGACTGAGACAGGCTATATATTCCTCTGGCCTCCATTTGAAAGCTAGATCACTAAATATAGAGTGGGAAGGAATGTGAGTGCTTTTTGGCTCACCACTTCCAGTAAGCAGGAGAGAAATATTGCTGTATTTGTATTTTGAAAAGGTTAGACTTTTGAACTACACATATTTCACGAATATATAAAACATGCTTTCCAACAACAGTTTACACCAGTGTTTTCTTCTGGACCCATTCCAGAATCCAGCGAAAAATGATGAAATTCAGATATAAGCTAGAAATGTCTTTTTCAAAGAAAAAAACATACTCTATCTATTTGAAATGTAGAGAACTGATACAGTTTTCATGACCTGTTAAACACATATGAAATTTTGTGCTTTGAAAATGACAATCAAAGGCTTTTGGCCAGCTAGCCCTTGACCCACTGTCAATTTTAGCAAGCTGTTGAAATTTAAATGTAGTTTGTAGATTTTAACACTGTCATTTAGAATTTCTGAAACTATTTGCTAAATACTTTTAAACACAAAACTTTAAATCTCTAGTAACTGTTGCATTAGTGCTATAACTTCCTGCCATGGATTAGACTTTTATTGTATAAAGCTGTACATTGTTTGTACTTTGTTTAAGCTTTGACTCAGTAAGTGCTTTAAAGCTTAGAGAAAGAGTACGTGTGTCTTTGTGTTCTTCTAACATTTCCTTTCACTGCTAATCTATCTGTGGGAGGAGGATTTAAGAGAACATGAGAAAGGGGCACATTGTGTTGATCAGAAAATGAAGTATTGGTTAATACAACTTTGAGCAATGCTTTAATACCACAGTGAATGGCTATATATGATGTCAGTGCTTATCAAAATTTAATTTATGGATCATTTTGCTATTAGGCTCATTCTTTGTCCAGTGTTAGACGTACACGGATCAGTGACCAGGTGCCTACATTCATTAATTTGCTGCTCCTCTCTCTGTCTGTGGAACAAAGAGCTCCAGTTGAGACCTGAGGAGAGCACAGTGTAAACTCATCGTATGTGTAGATAGAGACCAGGTATAACTTGATAGCCTTGCCGTGGCTTGTTGTTGTTCTTCTGTCTTACGCAGACAGGAAGATTTTAAAATCCAATAATGCACTAAGACTCCTGTCTCACCTCGAATCTCAGGTCTCTCTTTGTCTGTGAGCCATGACATTCTTTTCTGTTTTGAAGTTACCTGAACCCCGAATCAATTACTTGAATTTCTTGTTAGTACTGGTGTCACATCTGCAGTCCTTTCCATTTATAAGCCTTCACTTGTAAATTGCCTGTCCTTCAAGAGCGCATCTTGTTGTAATTTAGGCTTAGATTGGATTTCTATCAGCTTACTGAAGCTGCTGCCTGCATGTGTTCAGCAGGTGGCAGTGTTCCCCCTCACTTCAATGTGACCTCTCCTCTGGGTTTGCCTGCCTTGTTTTTGCCACTGCCTGTGAAAGTGGGATCGCAGCCAGTGGATTCACTTGAATGGCTTGAATTTTGCGAGCCTGACATGCACTTTCATTTGAATTTCACACAAGTGAAAATGTGCTTAGGTGGTGCAATTTTAGTTGAAACTGGGACGGTTTAGTGGAAGTTGGTGGAAAAATTGAGAAATTTGTAGATGCTGGAACCAGTCATCCAATCAGTGGTTTCTGTGGGTCTAGCTGAGTTCAGAGAGATTTAGCTGAGGTAGGCATGAGAGGAACAGCAGCAGCTACAGATCCACAGTAGAGCCTCTCCTCCTGCACCTGACCCTGAAGTTCCCAGAAAGCTGATGTGTATCTTGAGTTCTCAAACAACTGCGCATCGATCTGCATTAGCATTTGATCAGTAAGTCAGTCTGACAGTCATCCTTATTTAAACTGACTCTGGTTACTCTAGTGTGTGAGTAAACTGGTAGGCACATGATTTACTTGTTGGGTTTCAGTTATCGCATATATATTTACATTTATCCTTCTGCTAATGTTATTTTTTCTCTTACTACTTTTCTGTATCTTTCCCTTTAACTCTTTTATTTTAACATCCCAAGCTGCTGTTCTCCTTTTAAAATAAAAGGAAGTGCTCTTTCCATGGTCCTGAAACAGTGGGAATTATTAGGACTGCCTTACTTAAACAAGCTTTCCACCATTCCTCCTCTTTTCCTATCTCCTAACTGTCTCCCCCCAAGCCATCCATACACTCAGGCATTCGATCTTTCTCTCTCTTCCACTCACCCTCTCACTTGCTGTCTGGTTTTCCCGCCCCCTCCCGCCCCCTCCCTCCCTGCCTATCTCTCTCTCGCGCACGCACGCTCTCTCTCTCCTCCTCTCTCTCAGTAAGCCATGTACTCTGCTTTTCATCCAGCGGGTTTTAGCCCTGAATGGAATGACCCTCTGGTTTTTCCAACTCTTCACGTGTTTTTTGGCTTAAAACATTGCTATTATCCTAAAAAGTCTGGGGACAAAATAGAAATGGGATAAGGCACGGTTTCTCAGTCTCTTGTAAGTATGCAGCTTTTCTTCTATTTGTGTGTGCGTGTGTGCGTGTATACATGTTCATCTGGTTAAGGTGATTAGATGCAGCTGTGTATAAATGTTTCCATTGTTAGACAGAGGCTGAATACTGTAGACATCTGTCCCAGAAATTATTCTAGCTCATTCAGGAGACAAACTCTGCTTGGAAACTGGAAAACATTGTAGAATTATTAAAGTATAAAAATGTTTCTCCATTAACAGTGAATATATTGATGAAGAATATATTCAATTGATTCAATTGTTTTGCTCTTTTGTATACATTGTGAAAGGGTTGTAGGGCTGTGTTTATGCTTGTTGTACATTTGTTTTATTACACCTGTCTACATGACCATACATTCAGGCAGAAAACGAAAGAAAAAGAAAGTAACCTTTCCACAAAATGAATGCCTCAGTAAATTTGTGACTCACAACATGATTTTAATGATTTGCTTATAAAGTGAATAATGGAATCTTTTGACAGATCTAGAAATAGATAGCTAGAAATATCTACACTTACTGTATTGATCTAAATGGAGCCAAAAACGGTGTTTTAAACGTGTTTTAAAGTGTTGTTGGGCAGATGGCACGCTTATCATCCTCATCAATTAGTTCTGCAGCGGCTGTGTATTGAATTGCTTGTCCTTGTTTGTCTTGGATGTAAAAGCGCGTGCCAGCTGAGGTCGATTTGCTAGATCAGCTCTGTCCCCAATGACGAGGGAGATGGAGACAAAGAGATCAGAGTCGGATTCAGTTTTGTGACATAACAAACATCTCTGCCAGATGAAGCCAAGCTCTACCCAGGGATCACAAACACTGAGGCTGTCCAAGTAGTCACCCAGCCAAAAATCATCCTCAGGGTTTCTATCTCCTTTTTTTCCCTTCTTCCTGTTTTTCAGCCACATTTAACTTCCTCCTCCCTTTTCTGCCTCTTAAATATGTTGTGAATGTAACAGCCCCGTCTCATAATGGATTTTACCTCTCTAAACTCACACTCCCTGTATAAACTGCATGCCTCCCCACCACTCTTCGCCACGACTACATCGATCTTGAAGTTACATGCCACCTTCTTCCTCTCCCACTGCTCTGACTTGCTCTTTGAAACTCCATTGTGTCTTAGTTGTTGTTTTTAGAGTATATGTGAAACTAATGAAACCCATTGTCCTTTTCCTGTCAATAAGCATTATACAATAGGTTTTTAAGCCTACAGGGCCTCAGTGTTTTGCATGTTGAACACATGACAACTTTTAAATTGTAGCAACATAACATTGTGTAAGTAAGTGTTAACAAGTAACAGTTGAGTTCATTGTAAACATAATTAAACATTTTAGTGTAGTTTCTGTGAGTGAAACTTTAGTCCTGTTGTCTTTAAGCTTTCTGAGGATAAAGCTGTCGCCATCTTTGATGTGCACAGTTACAATGGTTATAGGTGTTGTTAATTGGACCAAAACTTGGATAATATTGTAGTAAATAATTAGAATTATCGTTTTCCTTTCTGCTTGGTTATGTACTGCATGTGTGAGTGCGTTCTTGTGGGAGTCTCACCTTTTGTTTCTTGCATGGGTGTTTTGGTATTAGACCTTTGTTACAGAATCCACTCTTCATCACTGGTACTAGTGTGCTGTCTTTTGTTGCATTGGGATTTGTCTGCTCTGTATGGCTCCAGTGTGTCCAATGACCCGCAGTATGCTGCATGAAACCTGAATTCATTATTAAGCTCATATTGTGTCCCAGTTGACACCTTCTGACGCACTGTAGAAATTGGGAACGCTGATACAGGCAGGTCATTAAAATAAAAATTAGTTAAACAGTGTGCAAGGCGGTCAACTGGGAAAATAGTGGTTTAGTGTT